TAAGTATAGTTTACAACATGAGCGGCCGTGTTGTATGGGAATTACAATCTCGAGCCGCAGGCGAGAGATTGTAATTCCCATACAACACGGACGCGAATGTTGTAAACGACTTATAAAACTCCAACACAAATTAACATGAATTACAGTGAGATAAATGACGAAAAATGACAAATAAGGTAACTGCTGAGTTTAGTCCCTATTAAGCATGCGCAATTTACTGCAACACAGAACATTTTGAATAATTATCCATCCCACATGGAAAGCAAGCCATCTGTTGCATAAGCGAGTTCTGTTATCCGTCTTTGATTGCTTCAAAACCTAGTGAAGGTCTATGATGCGACACTAAAACTGAGACCTTTGCTAGTGTTGGGTTGTCTCAATGGTGACGACCGTGTTGTAAATCTGATACAACACTAGTGGTTGTATCAGATTTACAAGGTCAATCACCTGATTAAATGGTCAGCCCTTATTGGAGCAATAGCTTATGCATTATTAATAAGTTTTATAATATTAACTATCGTGTGAACCGGGGAAAACAGAAGCAGACACCGAAGCAGATGAAAATGAAAACGTTTTCATTTTTATCCCTATTGTAACTTTTCTGACACTTCTAGATCTAGATTATGAGTGTGAACCGGGACATCATAAGCAGAAGAACATTCTTCTGTTAAGTGTGAACAAGCTTCTGCCTCGGTTTATGCTTATCTCATAGTGTGAACCGGCCTTATAAGGGCGCGTAACCTCAACTAACGGCTGTACTAACCCAATAAAGCCAGAACTGTTTCTGACTAATCGGACAGCATGTCGGATTAAGCGACGTCATCCGTTCATAATATACCAAATATTAAATAACTGCATAGCCTATAGATTGCATTTGTAAAAAACAAGGAATCATTTACTGGAAACCGTGACTGATTTTAATTCTACTCAGTGTAAATTATTGACGATTGTATCTTATAAATAAACAGGTTCATATTTGTACTGCCTCTAATATGGATTGTCTCTGTTGATTTAAAGAAATTTCCAATGTCAGTTTTTGACTAAATCTTGTTATAGGAGATTTCCTATAAACTTGAATGCAGCGTTGGAAATTTTGTATTTTCATCTACTTCAAATATCCTTTCTTTGTCAACTCCTTCATTAAATCATTGAGAAATGGCAAATTTTGAGCTATATGATCTGTGTCCCTGAGCCTTTGAATTTGGGTCGGAAGTTAAAGGGATCTGAGTACGAGAATGGTACGCGTCCGGGCGCGAACTCGTCTGAAGACTGAGCCTAGGGGATTCCCCGCTCAAAGTTCTAAAACAAATTCAAAGTCTGCTGACGAATCACTTTTTTAAAGCAAAGTTTGCTTACAAAATATCAAACCTCGGAGTGAGTCAGTGAGGTGCAAGGTAGCTAAACACATCTTGCTAGCAACATGAATTACAGACTGGAAGTGCTATTGATTGTTATGGCAGCTTTGATGCATCGCTCCCATTCAGGTGACTATGTTCACTTGATTAACTTTGCTATATATTTTTTCTCGAGAAAGGTATTTATATAGTGAGGTAGGTACAGCCTT